GCCATGACAGGCGCTGCGTGCTGGTGGCTAAATCCATGAATCGTCAGTATAGCAGTGACGAGTGCTTCGGATAAGTCTTGGGATTCGAACTCGCAGCCGGGGACAGGGCATCCAACAACGACCATGGTGTCGTCATGAAGAAACACACTCCCCAATGTCAGTCTTGGTACTTTATTGACAAAGATGACGACACCCTGAAATAGAGCAATGCCGCAGGATAAGCTGATAAAGTATAACATGAACAATACACATATATTCACATACATATATTAAAGACACACTAAACGGTAGTGGAAACAGTCTTACATGTGTGAGTGGACGAACGTCTCAACCCGAGGCGGAGTGAATGAATGACTTGTGGGCTAACATGGCCGCTATGCAGTACCGGGTCAAAGCACGGCATATCCGGGCAGCGACAGCAGTGACGCTGCCCTCTAGTGGCCGGCGATACACTCTTCAAAAGCTATAAATAAACAGCAACAGGCTCTTTAACCAAGGCACTGTTAGCCTAACATGTAAACTAGTTGTTCACACTAATCCTAATATTATCACTTAATATTAGCAAATTCTATTTTATTTTTTAAAACATATTGATGTAAATACATACACATATCGATTTGTTGTATAAATATTGCAAATCAAAACCTTTATTCACTAATAATTACCAAAAATCGTAGTTCTATCTCCTGTTATCAATGCATTCACATTGCCCGCCATGAACTTCCGGGGAACGATCCTCTTCTACATGAACCACGTGACGATAACCGTTTTTGGACTTCCGTTGTCGTAACTCTTCTATTATATGGCTCTGGGCCGGAGCTGAGCGATGCCCGGGCCTTGGGCTCTCTGCTGGGTCTGCACTCTGTCCGGGTGGCCGAGAGGATCCTACAACTCTGGAGCCAGATCCTCTCCCCTGATGAAAAAAGACTGTTAAGGAGCTACGGACAGGTGAGGAGTTTGGTTGTCTCTCTGGCTTTAGGATTAATTGGTCTAAATCTGCCCTCTTACCCCTTAATGAGTCAGCTAAAATGCTTCAATTTCCACCCAATGTCCCAGTTGTCCAGCACTTTAAATATCTTGGGATAGAAATGTTCCCATCGTTAAATCGTATTGTAACATATAATTACTCAGAAACATGGAACAGGATTAAGATGGATTTGGAAAGATGGACTAGCCTTCCGAACAGTCTTCGGGCCCGAATATCTATAGTCAAAATGAACATTTTACCCAGGATTAATTTTGTCAGCTCAATGATCCCCCTCTCACCCCCGGTTGACTATTGGAAAAAAATCCACTCTTTTATTTCGCGCTTTATCTGGAATTCAAAGCGCCCACGACTGAAATTATCCACTATACAGAGGAGGAGGGAAGGTGGTGGTCTGGCGGTGCCTAATTTTAAATTGTATTTTTGGTCATTTGTGCTTCGTCCGTTACTGGTGTGGCTTAACCCTAATGCTTCCGTTTCTTGGCGTAATATATAGGAACATATCGTACAACCTTGGAACCTGCAGGATATCCTTTTTGCCAATTTAACAAATAGGCAATGTCAACTACGCTTTGGCCCTATAGTTTCACATCTCATCAAGATATGTCGCACAGCTGAATCACAATGTAAGATTTCCTGCAAGTGGCACACACTTTCTCCTATATATAATAATAAAGGTCTGCTAATTGGTGGGAGACCTGTCTCATCCTCTCATTGGAGCAACAGCCGTATTCACCACTTGAGTGACATTTATGATAACAGGGGCTTGTGCTCCTTTCAAGAAATTAAGAGTGCATTCAATCTGCCAGGTAGCTTGTTTTTCTTCTATTTGCAGCTCAGATCTGCTCTCAAGGCACATGGTGTCCCATGGCAACAACCTATACCCGTTCATCCTCTTTATAAGTTGTTTACTGTACAAGGGAAAAACAGGGGTATGGTGTCTACACTGTATAATTTCTTTCTGGAGGCTTCCTACGATAACCTACAGCTGGACAGAGTATGGAGATGTGACTGCCCAGTTTTAGACCCTGATTTCAGTTGGGAGGGTGTTTGGTCAAGCATAAAAGAAGCTTCTCGGAATCCCGATCACCAACAGATTCACTTTAACTATGTCCACAGAACATATCTTACCCCACGTAAACTTCACTGTATGAAAATGATAGACGATCCCTCATGTAGTTTATGCACTATGAAGTCCCCTGGCACGTTTATGCACATGATGTGGGACTGTCCCCCAGTCGCTCTATTCTGGACTAAAGTGGCTTCTGGCATGTCACGTGTGCTCTCAGTGACAGTGCCGGTGACTGCACCCGCTCTACTATTGAATGATCTGTCAAAGCTCAATATCACCAAGCTTAAGATGCGCATCTTACTAGCTGGTCTAACAGCTGCAAAAAAGATGGTTGCGGTTCGATGGAAGCCTCCTAATTCCCTCACCTTCAGACACTGGGTCCTTGCATCCCTGGATGTTGTTTATCTAGAGTTGTCAACTGCCCGAATAAATAGGACAAATGACACTAATATAAACAATTGGCGCTCTGCAGTCGATTCCTTCAAAGATCTTTTAGAATGATTTCTCCCTTTCCATAATCCACAGCCTTTTCAATTGCGACCTTTGCGTTTCCCTGTGTGTGTGTGTGTGTGTGTGTGTGTGTGTGTGTGTTTATATGTCTGGGAGGGAGGGTAGGGTTTATTTTATTTTTGTTGTCTTGTGTGTTCTGAATTCTGCATTTTGTATATTTTGTAAGTAATTATTTTTATCTAATTTTGTTTCTCTTGTGTACTTTCAGTTATTTCATTTAAGGAAAAAAAAATAAAAATGTTGTGCTTGTAGTTGTACATGTCGTGTATTAACATCAATAAAAATTTGATCACAAAAAAAAAAAAAGGAGCTACGGACAGGGAAGAGCCAAGCCGGACCCAGCAGACCCTTTCCCGGAGATCTACCCGAGCCCAGGGCTCGGAGAACTGACCGCCCCCCTGCTCAAGGTCGCAAACCAAGGACAAATGACTATCCACAAAGCTGACAAGAAAACAATTTGTAACATTGTAAAGGCAACAAACAAAAATGCACTGAAGGACAGGGCCTCCACTGTGTGGACCACCAGACTGGGTGCAGGAAGCGGACCAGGACCACAGTGGAGGATTTTATACAAACCTTCCATTAAAAAACGTACTGCCGACCTCCAGTGGAGAATTTTACACGGAGCCATCGCCTGTAATTCTTTTATCTCCATTATTAATCCTGCTGTTTTTAACAAGTGTCCATTTTGTGGTTTTTGAGAGACTGTTTTCCATGTTTTTACAGAGTGCAAGAGACTCACAGGTTTCTTCTCTCTTTTAACATTGGTTTTTAGTCTTTTTAGTATAGCTTTTACCGAGAGTGTTTTTATCATGGGGGCTCCATATAAAAAGACAAATAAAGAAAAGTGGCAGCTCCTGAATTACATCTCTGGCGAAGCAAAAATGGCCATTTATTTAAGTAAAAAAAACAGAGTAGAAAATAGGAAAGGAGAAGAATCAAAAGCAATCTGGCTGTGCAACATCAGAGCCAGACTCTGACTGGAGCATCGTTTTTATAAGTATGTGATTCGTTTTTGTTATTGCACAATGAAGCACTTTATTTGAAGAATGTATAATTCTTCTTCTTCTTCTTCTTCTTCTTCTTCTTCTTCTTCTTCTTCTTCTTCTTCTTCTTCTTCTTCTTCTTCTTCTTCTTCTTCTTCTTCTTCTTCTTCTTCTTCTTCTTCTTCTTCTTCTTCTTCTTCTTCTTCTTCTTCTTCTTCTTCTTCTTCTTCTTCTTCTTCTTCTTCTTCTTCTTCTTCTTCTTCAATTTAGCCTACAGAGGGATGACATGCAGTATGACCAGTGGCGTTTCTATATGTACAAAAGTGGTGGGGCACAAAAAACTCAGATGTCTATATATAAGCTTTTGCAGTGAGGTTCATGGCTGGTGAGGCACTGGCACTGACTCTTCAGGTTTACAAATATTATATTTTGACCTAAATCAAAATATATTATTATTTTCAAAAGCTTTTTTAGTCTGATGCTTCAATTAATTTTAAACAGACAGTTCAACAGAAGGATACCCAAAAAATGTAATTTTATCATTTAAATATTGAATTGTTCTCTCTTAGTAAGATCCCATTTTCAATAAAATTGCGGTCCATTTGCCTATCCTTCTGGACAAAAATCTCTATTACTTTTTTGTAAAAGTCCTCCTTATCTTCTTGTAGTTTCAAAAGTCTATCATAAATCTAAATGATGGATTTATGATTCGAAAATTATAAAAGTATGGTAGACATGTGGATATTATCCGGCTGAACAAAACGTGCATTTATCTAACAGGTACGTTTTCCCACAGATCTTATTTTGAGCTATTTTCTAAAATCCTATGGAGAAATCTCATTGCTTTTTTGTGGAGGGAACATGGATGTATAATAAGAAGGAGGGAAGCCATGCGCAGCTTACTTCCTGGTTTTAGGACGTGTCTCTCTCCTCCTCTTCACACACTACACTTTTCGCGGCACACGTACTTACAGCCAATCAGCTTTGAATTATGTGAGATGACGTATGGTGGGGATGGCTCTATGGTCATTATTTTTTGCCACACACATTAAATAGGAAAATACTCTGAGCATGCGCAGTGTAGTTTTTACAGTCACCGTTCACTAACGGCCCGCTTCTGCCCATTCACTTTGAATGGGGTGACGTCACTTTTAGCCGAACTGCATTTTGGGAAGCGACGTGGAGCGTTGCTGGTGTAGCTGGCGTCAAAAGTTGAGCAATGTTCAACTTTTGACGCCTCGACGGAGGCGTCAGCCAATGAAATCCCGTTTATTCAAATCTGCCAGTACAATCGCTAGCCAATCAAACCGTGTGTATGCTGGGAGAGACTACGCAGGTCATTTCCTCATATTCAAAAAAATTGAGGGAAAATTCATTGTAGCGGTAGTGAATCACCCGGTGCTGTATGATCAGTCTCTGTTCATCTACCGGGATACAAACCGGAGGAGCGAGGCATGGAGGGAGGTGGCAGAGACAGTGGGTGAAACTGGTAGGTTTTCGCCTGTTTGGGGATTTTATATCCAGTTTACTTCGTTTTAACATTGCTATTGCTTTGTATGTCGGGGGCGGGAGATTCATGTGATTGGTTGTTGGTCGTGTTGCTCGCAAACAATCCCCAAGCTTCAGATACGCCCACCTCCAAGCGTCAACGCACGCTGCTGTGTGGACGCTCCATTAGACAGTGAGAGGGAGCGGCATGATCGGGTTTTGTCCCACATGGCTCTAAACAGCTCAATATGCACACACTGTAAACACTAATTAGAAGAACACATACTAAAACAGCAATGTACAGACGAATCCGATGATTAAACATGATCTTAAAATATATTTAATATATTTTTTAATTTATTTTTTGCATTTTGTTGTAATCATTATTTTAATACTTTCTGCTGACACTAGGTGGGGCTGTGCCTGGATGTATTGGTGAAAAAAAGGAAGATGAAAATCAGTGTGAGTTTGGTGAATAGAAAAGATGCCTTCATCATTTGTATGACAAAAAATAAAACAATGTTTAGTTGCAATGTATTATTAGCTAAATCTCTTAAAATTGTTGAATGAACATAAACTCAAATTAAGCGGAGAATGAACTATAATGAACACATTTATTGGCAAGAATTGTGTTTCAGTTTAATCAAAGGGGAACAACTTTGTAGATGGCATGAGGCAGTTGTCAAGGGTCTTTGAATGCAGCACGGTTGATTGACTGATGGCCGAGGCCCCTCCCCCCTCTCCTGAGCTCAGCAGCCTGTAGTCGAGAAACAGTCAGGTGCCGCGGAAACCTCAGCGCTAACACCCTCCGCCGCCCGTCAGGTAAAAACTCTCTTTATTACACCAAACAAAGTACATTTACTGTAAATGTAAGGTATTATGGATACAATTTGTTTCTCTTTGTTGTACAAATGTGCCTCGTGCTCTCATCCTAATTGAGTTGTACCATTTAGCATCCTACCTACATGTTTAATAGTAAACCCCCATAGACAGACCAACCGTCCTCTTGACTTTAGACAAACTGCACATTTCAACTCAGGCTACTGTCAGTTCTTTACACGCTTTACCCTGTTTGCTGGATTTTAGTATGCTTGTCTGTATATCTATCATTGTATGTATATCATCACACCTTGGTTCCCTAAATCATTTAATTTTATAATAATATTGAAACAAATGTTTAACGTTTTAGTAGCTTAAAGAGTCTTAAGCAGCATTATAGCTTTAGGAAACAAAACAACTATTTTAGAGCAGGACTAAATTAGAGTTAAATATATGTGCCAAATGGACCTATACAAATGTTCTTGTCTTATAAAGTTGAAGAATTCAGCGAACATATATATTGTGAATTATCAGCTGATTATAATTTTTTTAATAAAAGTTGTATATTATCAGAATATAATCTCATAAATGTGAAAATGATTTTCTGAAACAGTGTCTTTAATTATTTTCATAATTTCAATGTCAATGTTTGGACGTGTTGCTGCATTTCAAATCATATTTATATCATCAAATTGTAAGGCAGAGTTCATTGGCCTTTCAATTCTAGGATATAATAGGCCCAGTTGTTGTCCTGTCAGGGATCAGCCACTAATCTGTTCCCACAAACAGACAGAAGGGGTGAGCACAGGTGGAAGGAGGGAGGGCAGGACGATAGGCTGGGAAGATTTACTAACCACTGCTTTTCACCTCTCTAATCTCCTGGCTTCTTGAATCGTGTGTAACTGATAGGGACAAATAGGCTTTACCCAGGCAGGGACTGACCTGAGTCTTGGAAATGCAATTGTTTATGTAAGCTAAACAGGTGGGGGGGTTAGGAAACTGGGAATGGTGAGGGAGAAAGGCTTAGGACCCCCTCCCCTAATGACTTACTTAATGTTTATCAGGTATGTTTGACCATATCAAAGAAGGTGATTGCAAAACATGTGTGTTTTCTGATTAGCTCCCCCTTTGAACAGCACACAACCTGCAATATCAGGTGATGAATAATACGGCTGGAGATGCTGATGAAATTATGAATCAAATTCGGTTTGATTAATTTAGAAACATGTAAAAGGTTTATATACAGTATATACTTAACTCAGTATGTAGTAAAACACATAATGCCAAGATGCATACATTCACAGAATACGATTTCTTTAGGGCTTAACTTTAGCTTAGCACATTCATGTGGGGACAGACAATGCATCATGAAGTCTCCCTGTTTCTTTATTAAATGTGTAAATCATTCTTGTCATCTGCTTCAGGAGTCTACGGCAACGTCAGAGCCAGAATGAGGCGGAAGGAGATCATCTGCAGCTGGAAGAAAAGCACCAGTAATATCAGAGATGTGTTCGACTTTAAGGGGAAAATGGGATCGTAAGTACACCCTTTTACGTGTGTGAAAATGGCAGTTGCTAACAAGTGACTAGATGGGATACAGAGGTTATTAGCAACGTAAAGTGTAAAACCCAGGGAAAATCGTTCACTCGTGACCAGTGTTGGGACTAACGCGTTACAAAGTAACGCGTTACTGTAACGCTGTTATTTTTGGCAGTAACTAGTACTCTAACGCATTACTTTTTAAATTCAGTAACTCAGTTACCGTTACTACATGGTGCGTTACTCCGTTACTGCGTTAGTTTTTTTATATAGTCAACAGCCAGGCGAACAGAGATGAGAACTGTACTTAAGTACAGTACTTGAGTAAATGTACTTAGATACTTCCTGTGTCACATGCGGAGACGCGCAGTGGGCGTGTTTGTGTTGTTTACTAACAAGACTATCATGGCGGCGGCGGAGCTCAAGTCTAGTTTCTCCACCTGGAGATATTCTCACTATTTCACTTTTGTCGAGCACAAAGAAAAGAACGTTTTAGTTAAATGTAAGTTGTGTCCTGGCGGGTCAAAGAGCCTATCTACTGCCCAAACCAGTAATTCAAATCTCTTAAAACATCTGCAAAAACAACATGCTGGGACGAAGCTAGTAACTAAGACCGGCACAGACCCAGACTCATCCAACGCCACTCCACCTCCACCTAAGCAACAGCGGCTGGATTTTAACCAAGGGACTGCTAGCCAGGGAAAAGTCGATAAAGCCATTGCACAGTATGTTGTAGAACACATGCAGGCTATTGCTACAGTCAGTGGAGTTATCATGGAGCTAGTTAGCATGATACCATGTCCGGGCGGCACACGGCATATGGGACGGAAAACTTTTTCCAACTACCTGGAGAAAGAATATACAAAATTGGAAAGCCAGCTAATATCGATGTAATCCAGATTGCATCAAGTTGATCAACAGATTGTATTATTCTCCAATGCAATAACAGTACTGAAATGAAGGCTATAAGGGCATTAATGGGAGACATTTTTTTAAGTAGCTAAAACGTTTTCACAGTAACGGATTACTTTTTGGTGTAAGTAATCAGTAAAGTAACTGAATTACTTTTGAAATGAAGTAACTAGTAATGGTAACTAGTTACTGGTTTTCAGTAACTAGCACAACACTGCTCGTGACTCATGACTCCAAAGACACTTTGCAGTCATGCGGCCATGGTTTTGTCCAGGGCTTCTCAAACTCCGGACCAAGGTCCGGATCCGGACCGAAATGCAAATCAATACGGACCGAACTCTGTGGCCCATTATAAATACAAAAAATAAATAATTATAAAAATAAAAATTCTGATGTAAATTAAAGTGGACCTATATTCTATATTGGAAACATATATTGTAGGGCCACACCTATACAAAACATGTCTGTGAAGTTCTTTTTTCAAAATACCAAACAGATCACCCATTGTAGCCATGCCTCATACTGCTCAAACCCCTCTTTTGCAGCCCTGTTAGAGAAATGTGGATTTTGTGTCCTAAGCTTGAAAAAAAAAAAGAGGAGGCGGAGCTAATGCCTGATCAGAATTCTACCGGAGATAAAGTTAAATTCTGCTGTGATAAAATGCCATCCTGTTCTTATCCACATCAAGGATTATTTATGAAACAGTATGGATCTCAAATGCTTTTTCTCTTGCGGGTTTATCACAAGGTGAGTTCCTTTTTTTATTTCCTGCTTTTTAAACACATGTGCTCTCCAGTACAGGTTAGCTCTGAGTGTTAGCGAGGCTTGCTAATGTAAACAAAGACGAGATTACGTCCAAAACACGTCAGGCATTGTTTCTGATAGCAACTTTCTGTGGGTCCGCCGCCTATTTGACGTCAGATCGGCAGCAAATCTGTATCCGCTCGTTGTTCCCCCGTTTTTAAAAGATTTGGGTACGGAGGAAAAGAGAGAGGCTTTTATTTTCTGACGCTGGGTGAGTTCCCCGACGCACCGGGGACACATAAAAGACATCACAAAGTGCATTTTGCATGATAGGTCCCCTTTAATATATATTTTCTTGTGTCTGACGCATTGTGAGAATGAACGTGCATATATATTTACTTGTGTGCGCGAGCGTGACACGCATTGCAGACCGCAAGTTAACTGCAAGTTTACCTTGACTTTCTAATGCTTCTAATGCCATTTTTGCTGACGTTCAAGACATTGGCTACAGACAAACAGTGCCATTTCTCCCACTAGTTCAAGCCATCATACTGTATGTATGTATTGAATGTGTGTGTGTATACAGGGGCGCCGTTTACGGACAGGCAAGTGCTTGGACCAGAAGGGGGCCCCCAAATAAAGTAGATTAATCCAATCCAATCCAACTTTATTTATATAGCACTTTAAAACCTCCAGACCAAAGTGCTGTACAGATAGATACATAACATATAAAATCACACAGCTCAGCTCACAAAACATAAAATTAATTAATTAATTTAAAATAAAAGATACAAACACAAAACAAACCAGAATAAACGTAACAATTTGAAAATTTAAAATAAATGTTAAAAAAAAACATAAAAAAACATTAAGAAGGTCCACAGCAACGACAACAATGAAACACCCTTTAATTTACTGCAACGACATGTCGGGAAACCCCCTCAAGGGGGCCCCATGCGCGCCAAAACTGCTTCTTAATTTCAGTTTCGTTGCTCCGCTCCGACTTTACTGGCATTTATCCGCCTTGTATACAATTCACAAGTGGACCTTTAATAAAACAGTTTGAGTACCCCTGGTTTAGTCCATATACAGTTAGCTTTTTCTTCTGTTATAACATTTATGCTTCAATTCAAAGATCATGAATCATAAAAATGGGTTCATTTTTGTGGATTATCTTGCTGAACAAAACACATAAGAATAATTATATTGGTTGTTTGTTTAGGCAATCAGGGAGATGCTGCCAACAGGTTGTAGTGTATTGGAATTCAACTTTAACCTGTTAAACCCCAAGGTCCCCGTCGGCGGGGACCCTGTTTTTTTTTTTCACGACACTGTGTCTCAGGGGATCTTAATATTTAAGAACCTATTAATGTGTTATACCAGATTAACGGGAATAATCTCAGCTAACTGACGATACACACAATTTTTACCAAAACAAAACACAAGTCTCATAAGAAGCATCTAAATGACCCCTTAGCAAAAAATGCTAACGGACATTGGCACAGAACTCAAGATAAAAGTACCCTTATTACTTATCGTAGCTGCACATACAAGATATCCGATTAAAGCTGTGGTTCCACAGATTATTTAGGTATATAGTATCATCACTGAGTGATCCGGACTCGCGACAGGGGAAGCAAATACAGTCATCACAACACGTACCTTTACGTAGCTTCTAGGGAGATCGTCTCACCGTAGCTGTCAATCGGATCAAAAGACGTGTTCAATGGCATTAAAACGAGAAAAAACGCGGCTGAATCGGTTAATCCATAGGTTTTTAACGTCTCTGTATACAAAAATGATTTAATTTATAATCCATAATTCAACTTTTATGTAAAAATCCGAGAGCAAAAGTGAGTTGCTAATGGTAGCCACCAGAGTGGCTGCTGCTTCCGGTCTAGGCTATGCGGCAGTCTCACACACACACATTACCAAATAAGGACTATGTGGGAGTTCCCCTCGATTCCATTAGCTCTGACGGTCAGAAAGAGAAATCCAGCAAGGGGGGCCAGAGATATGGAAAATCCACCCAAATGGCCCCAGAAGAGGTTTTTTTTTTGCTAAATCTGTCTAAAAAGTTCAAATATCACTTGTTTTGCATCAATCTTGATACAGGGTACTTATTATATGTTGTACTTTGGATTCATAAAGCTTTTAGTCTACTAACCCATCATCCAAGGTTAGTTTTCCAGTCATGAGAATCATCAGCCAGTGAAGAAAACATTGTGTAATGTCTTCTGACACGGCACAGATAGAAAGGGGCAAAACAATTATGCTATTTAGTTGCATCATAGCAAAGGTAGAATCTAATATGCTTGTGGTTGACCCAGCGTTTCCGCCAGGGGGGCGTCATTTGCCCTTATTCAGCTCGGGACGCCCTGAACTCGAGCTGAGGGCATCCAAAAATATTAATAATTCGAGAGAAGATCGAGAGTTTTTATCGCTTGAAATTACGAAAAGGAAAAAGGACAAGGACATCCCTCTGTTGGAAGGGCAAAGGAGTCTGGTGGGATTATTTTCGGAGTATTGAAGATTGTTTCCCCGACATCGAAGGTGCCTGCTACAGCACAACACGGAACGTGCACGATTTGGACGCGATGAGCGGTGCTAGTGGAGCATGCGCGTGAGCTGCGAGCACCAGAGCCTCGCAGCGGAGAAACTGAGGCTCCGTGGTAAACTGTGGTAACATGAAGAGCCGTTTGGGAGCCGAAAGAGCCAAATGATCCGGCTCACTAACGTAAAAAGACAGTATCTATAAGGGACGGTTCAAGTAAAAATTCAAGCCCCCCCCCCCTCTCAGCCCTGGTCTGGTGGAAACACTGGGTTGACCCATACTACTTGAACTTGAGACTGGCTTCATATCACCAGTCAGTAAGAATGCTATTAACACCTGCTGTCCTGCAAAGCTACTTAAAACCCTGTGTGTGTGTGTGTGTGTGTGTGTGTGTGTGTGTGTGTGTCCTAGTTCCTGAGCAATGACGTAAGAACAGTGGGAACATCCTAGCACCACTTCATTATAGGATTAAAAGCCTGACTCATTTAATTGCTGGATGAGTGCACCATATGAAGGGAGGTGTGTGAACAGGTATACCTAGGTGTGTGTTTGTAATCAATTAATGGCGTACTTACACTACTTAGCAAAGAGGCATTCCGTTTTCAATCAAAGGGGCACTGTGCAATGCCTGGCCACATGCTCCAGATAAATAAGGGCAGCATTTTACTTTACGTTGAGAAGCTAACTACTAACTAACAGCACGGCAAGAATACACAAAAGTCGACAAAACTGAATCATAGCTGAAAGGCGGTCAAAATAACACTGCTGTCTTGTAACCTTCACTGGT